AATAAAACCTCAGGGAGAAATCAAGTTTTACTTTTAATTTTAACTTTTATGGTTATTATTTCAATAAAATACAAAAAAACGGAAATATGGAAATGGAATATAGAAAAATCTAGGTGTTTTAATAAAATATAATTTAAATATCTTTCCGCTAAATTAGATATTTTTATTTTTGTTAGATAGATTTAAATTTTTAGATTAAAGTATAGTTTGATTATATAGATAGATATTAGAATATATAGATCACATTTTCAAAGGCTTGCTATATGACGAATTATTTAAATATCTATGTGCTAATTATGAATTAGCTAGCAATTTATATATTTTTTTAATTACTTAGATTTTAGAATTTCAACTAGATAGACATTCCATTTTAAAAAAATCAAATAAGATAAAAAGAATATAGAAAAGAAATAGAGAAAGATTCTGATGTATACTAAGACTGTTTATATGACGCATTATAAATTCTAATAAATAAATATTGAGTATGTTGATTTTAATCTCCATCTATATATAATCAGCAATAATAAGAATATTAAATATGTTTATCAATAAATTTTTTTTTAGTTTTCGTTTAGTTACATAGATAGATAGATAGATTAAGAATTTTCAACTTGACTTTATATTTTTAAAAAAGCCATAAATACATAGAGAAAGCTTATGGAAAAGGGATTTATAAAAATTGTGATATATTAGTTCTAAGACTGTTTGTTTTATTGACGAATTGTATAATTTAATTAAATTAAATATAGCTAAAATTTGATGTTTTGAATTTCTCAAATTAATTGAAATCTTTATAATCTTATTAATTAGAAATTAGAATATTTCATTTATTTATAATATATATAAATTCTTTTTAAATTTTCTGTTTATTTACATTGAAAGATTTCAGAACTTTCAATAAAACATATTTCTTTTATCTTCAAAGTTTTTCATCCATATCTAATTCTGATTTGAATACAACTCAAATAAAATTTTTCTAATAAAAATAAAATCATTTGTAAGTAGCTACTTAATCAGAATTAATTTGATTTAGAATAGAGGAGAAAAATAAATTATAACTTTGGATTAGATTAAATAAAATAAGCTGCAATTTTATATTTTGATTTGCTTTTGAAACAAACATATTAGAATATTTCATTTTATTTATAATATATTTAAATTCTTTTTAAATTTTCTGTTTATTTACATTGAAAGATTTCAGAACTTTCAATAAAACATATTTCTTTTATCTTCAAAGTTTTTCATCCATATCTAATTTTCTGATTTGAATACAACTCAAATAAAATTTTTCTAAGAAAAATAAAATCATTTGTAAGAAGCTACTTAATTTGGATTAGATTAAATAAAATAACTGCAATTTTATATTTTGATTTGCTTTTGAAACAAACATATTAGAATATTGAATTTATTATTTAGTCATAGTAATATAATATCAGTTTATCTTTAAATTAATGAATGAATGTTCAATAAAACAAACAAACATATTAGAATATTGAATTAGTTATTTAGTCATAGTAATATAATATTGCATCAGCTTATCAATTTAAATTAATGAATGTTCAACAAGATGTTAGATACTTGTTCAAAGGCTTAATTAATCAAAGCTATTTTAAATAATAAATAAAATCAAAAAACATACACAAAATAAAGAAATATATGAGCAAAAAACAACTTAAGAAGAAGCAACACGAACTTCTTATAGAGAAAGAAGAAAAATTACTTTAGAAGAAGCTGAATAAAAAGTTGATCTAGTCTGCCTATTAATGCTAGTAAAAAGTGAATGCAATTAAGATTCTTGAAAACAACTTAAAAAATTCTTAAAAAACTCTCTAGTAAATTGAACAAAATATTCAATAAAAACCAGATAGTTACTTAAAATTGGCAGAAAACATAGGTATAACTGTTGAAAGCCTCTTGGAAGCTATCGAAAAAGGTTTACCAGAAAATGTGGCTGATATTAAGGTAGAGGATGGACCTTCTCACTTTCTATTAAGTAAACCAGAAAAAAAAATATTCAGTCAACACAATGACTAATTAAATGATCTGATTTAAAGTTCTTAATACATTTGGAGTTCTCTCAAACTTAAAATGCCTTTGGCTGAAGAAAACAAAATAAAGATTATTGATAACTTCTTAGAGAATTTAAAAAATGTAGATACTAAGTTATACTCAAATTTTGTTTCAAAGATATCTTAATCGAATACTTTCTAACAACTTTAGCATATTTTTATCAAAGAATATACAGGTAATTAATATGGTTTAATTAACTCTATACTTACTTCCAATGATCCTGTAAAACTTTCAGCTATGAGGGAATACATTAATATAGCTATTAAAGCCTATCAGGATGGTAACGTGGGGACAGTATATAATAACAACAAGATACTTTATAGAAACTTTAGACTTCCCAAAGACCTTATAAGTTTGTATAAATAAAACAGTTTTATTTACTTTACAAATATGACATCTACTTCTTAATTAGACTTAGAATCATTTGGATAGCCTGATGCTTATAATTTTGGTATTAAGCTTCAAATCTCTTTTCTAGATTTACAATAACAAAAAAAGAATAATCTTTACACAGGGATAGAAGTCCACAGCTTAAGCTATTATCCAAATGAAAATGAAGTTCTAATATTACCTTACCAGCTATTTTAAATTACGAGCGTCAAGCAGAATGGATAAGACAGGTTCATTATCAATTTAAGGGAAGTTGATAATAAGATAATCTTAAACAATATTAAGACACCTCAACATTTACCTACTAAACCTTCTTAGCCAGCTGATAAAAAAAAATTATAAGAAATAATTGCTTAATCTCAAAGTAAAATGTAACAAAAGTAGGAATCTTTAAAATAAGAAAAGATACAAGTTGCTTGTAACTTTTAACAGTAAGCAAAAGATTTCATTAAGAAAAATAACATCTAGTCAATAAAAATTCAAGATTCTTAACTTACTGACATAAAAATATCTTCTATTTAAGATATCTAAGCACCTTAAGAATAATAGTTTTAAAATAACGTAGATTATGAAGAAGAAGAAGAAAAAATAGAAGAATCTGTAGAATACAGTAACAACTAAATTAATTTTACTAATCTTAATAATGAAGACAAATGTAAATTGCTTTAACTTGCAGAAAATTTTGATGATCTGATCAATAAACTTACAGATTAAGAAAATGTAAACAATCAAAACATTAAAGAAGGAAATAAATAAGTAGAAAATATTCTAAAAGAATGGATCCTAGTTAATATCGAAGAGTAAACTTCAAAAGATATTGTAGAAAAAAACTAAGAAAAAATAAAAACTCAAGAACAAACTCTGATTTAGCAAGTCAGTTAAAATAAAAACTTCTTAAAGTTTTTGAATATCCAAAAAAATTAAGAATTTAAAAATTACTAATTTTTACTTCATTTGGTAAATAAATCTTACGAACAAATAAATTAGCAGGCTCTATTTAATGACAAAATCCCAGTTTGTTTGCAGAATAAATTTCTTTAAAGATTTGCATTATCTTCTTAAGATAATTTCTTTCATAAAGTTTACTTCGAGCATCAGAATGCAACACTCAGTCTTTCAGATCTAAAAAAACCAACTTACTAACTTATTCTTTAATAAATATCCTTCTAGTTAACATAATT